CGGTTTGACCAGTTTTAAACCTGTTTGAGCGGTTTCCGACCTGACCCGTTGACCGGGTGATATTTTGGTAATTATTTGGGAAATAGTGCTATTCTGGTAATTATTTTGAAAATGGTGATATTTTTGTATTTTTAAAAAAGTGGCAATTTAATAAAATTTTTAAAAAAGTGTTATTTTAGTAATTATTTTGAAAATGATGCTATTTTGGTAATTAATTTCAAAATGGTGTTTTTTCATAATTTTAAAAAAATATTAATTTCTTAAAATAGTTGACCACCTTTTACCAGACCGGTCATTAAACGACCTTTAATCTTTTCCGAGTAAACCTATCATGATATTTTTTGATGTCCCGAATTTGGTTTTGGGGTTCATTTCACCAAATTCGAAACCGAAAGTCTTCAAATCGTCAGTCAAACCCATTGACTTTGATTTTGACCAAGAATTCAAATTTTCGGAAAGTCATATTTTATGTATTTCGACGTCCTGAATCTGATTCCGATGTCCGTTTTGCCAAATTCTGACCTGAAATTCTCGAATCGAGCATGTGAACCCAAAAAGGCTTAGTATTTTAGTATTTTGATTATTTATTTGAGATTTGGTTAATGAATTGATCCAGTACAAATATTTGATGAAGGTACTCGTGTTTCACCTGAGCAATGATCAATTAGGTCCAGTATTGTCCGTTCTTTAAATCAGCCCGAACCGCGTACTACGAGAATCACCCGTAGGTTTCCGTATATTATTTAAATAAAGATTAAGATAATTTATATTAGGATTCCAAAATGGATTTTTCTGATTCGTAGGATCTAGTGCTGCAGCAGAGCGTGATCGACAGACCCAGTAGTAGTCTTCCTTATCTGATTTCTCAGACTGTTACAGGTGTGTTTACTGACGGTGTTATATTACTGTTTTAAACTATCATTTAATTGTTTCAAATTTATGATGATGTTGAATATTATTACAACATGATACATGTTTTATGAATACTGGTTACCCGACACCTGATTTACCGGATATTACTGATCTGATGTATAGTTTCTGTAATTTCTGCATATGATTTTCAAGCCTGAACCATTTTCATGTTTTAATGGATTAATATATATTTTCACCTAAATACATACATGTTTATTTCTGTCACTGGATATTATTGAGGGAAGTATTTCAGGCCCCTTTGCTGTGTGCTCAGGGTAAGTCCTTACTGGTGTGCAGGTGGGTGTATGGTTCTGGGGAACCTACACATTGTAGTGACTGGAGTGACTGGATGGGGAAGTTATTACCGCAGGCTCCTTTGCTGTGTGCTCAGGGTAAGACCTTACTGGTGTGCAGGTGGGTGTATGGTTCTGGGGAACCTACACATTGTAGTGATTGGAGTGACTGGATGGGGAAGTTATTACTGCAGGATCCTCGGCTTTGTGCTTAGGGTAAGTCCTTACTGGTGTGCAGGTGGGTGTATGTTTCAGGAAAATATACAAAAGATAGAAATCAGAGTGATTGAATGGAAATATTGTTCATATTTTAAAATATGTTTGATAACTGATTTTATTGGAATATTTTATTCGTATGTTTTTATACACTGTTTGGAGCACACAGGGCTTTTTAGCTCATTCTATAGTTTTACCCTTTTTCAGATAACAGTAGATCGTAAGCTAGCAGGTTTGGCATCAGGGGAGATCAACTACTTATTTTGTACGAACGTATATCTCTATATGTTTTTCAGTTGTGTTTGGTGACATGTATTTGCTATCGTTTTGGATATATTTGTATTATTTATATTTTGTTCTGTATTATATCTAATGTATTAAAAGTTGTTTAAAAAAAATCTCTGAATGGGATATGTGACCACTTAGATTTGGATCTAACTTATAGACTGGGTCTGGGGGGTTATACCCTCATCTTTCAAAATGATCTTTAAATGTAGAATGTAAAAGGAAGTATGTTCACCAAACTCGAACAAGAAGAAATTTGTATCAAAGGTGTGTGATTCAATTGAACTCCTCAAAATGGATCTACAAATTCCTCCTCTTTCTTTTCTCTCACTATAGATTTTGAATAAAAAGATAGAAGCCAAACTTAGAGCACTAAGAGTAAAAAAATGATTAGCACCAATTATGTTTACTGCACAGATGAATGAAAGTGCAACATTGTATTTTCAAATAACACAAGGAACAAAAAAGTGTTAGAAAATACATAGGAATCAATAGTAAGCAAAAACAAAGAAAAACTAAGAATAAAAATAAATAAACCCCAAAATCCTAAAAAAAGCTTTAGAATACCCAACTCTAATACCAAATGGTAAGGAACAGTGGAGCATGATTAATGCATTCAAGATACGATTTACTCAGGGTTCTAAACACTTCTCAAGAGAGCAAAATACAAGCTTTTTATTATAAAAGCAAAAAAAAATCAATTAAGATCACTAAAGAAATCAATTAAGGTTAATATAATAAAGAAATATAAATATTAAATAAACAAAAAATTAATAAAGATTGAATCTTGAATGAATGATGTTGTAACACCCATCTCCCATATACATTTTTGTACACGAGATATAGATGTCACATTACTCTTAAAATAGTTTTTCCTTTGAAAACCCGAAAATATTTTTTTCTTTTCAATTTCTGAAAACATAACATTTTAATATAAAGAAAAACATTAATTGTAAACTATCATAAGTTCTACTTAATTAAAGTTAAGAGCATTTTAATATTGTGATTACTTGCCAACTAAGTTTTTTCGAAAATAAACTAGATTGTCTTGGTGTTACGGATGAGTCCACCTTAGTTGATGATCACCATGGATATAGAAGATCTCCTTACTCAGTTAATCTTTGCTATTTCCTACGCGTGAGAAAAAACACACGTTAAGCATTTACTTATTGAGATATAATATTGTAAAGAACATTAAAGTATACATAAGTATCTCATGGTTATTTGACTTCAAACTAAGTTGTGTCATCCATAGGAATTAGTTAAGTTATTCGTATTATAACCAAACCTTGGTCATATTATCCTCATAACCATCTTTAGTATGTCCAACATACTTTTCTTTAGTTCATTAATTTCAGTTATGTCTATTTCCATGCATTAACACATCCATTTACGTATTTTAATTATGACATCCTTTCATGCATTTTAATTATGGCATCCTTTTATGCCTTAATGCATCATTTCATGCATTTTTAATTATGGAATCATTTCATGCCTTAATGCATCCTTTCATGCATTTTAATTATGGGTTCGATTTATAGCAGTCCATACTCTAAAACTCATTCATAATATTCTTTCCATACATATAAAGATAACATAATCAATATTATAAAACATATAAAAATTTAAAGCATTCTAATTTGAGTGTTCTTCATCTCGTATTCTTACAATAAAGTACTCACCTGGCTTGCCTCGCTTTGGTATCCAATATGTGAAGCTGATTACTCCGGAACTTGGCCTTTGCCCTTTGCTTTACTTGATTCGGGAGATTGATTTCGATATATTCAATATCCACTAAATACATGTATAATATCAATTGTTAGTATTTTTCCTAACAATTACAATTAAAAATTAATCAAAATCACCTATTAATAACTTTTCTACAACAATATCAACCTATTTTAAAATTTCTGGCTCCTCAGTATCGATACTACCATATTATGGTCCTGATACCCTATTATGGTATCGATACATTCCCTTCGGTATCGATACTCCCTCTTTAGTATCAATACTGATTGAATCAATATCAACACTGCTTAGTAAATTCACCCTATTTTAGCCTATAGTATCGGTACTGTTCTATCAGTACCGATACTCGTACCCATAATTCCCAATTTTCAACCCGATTACCACCCAAATGGGGTTAAATTTCGTTATATTTACCCTATGCAATACTATTAAACTCTTCTTTAACTATCCATACTAACATTCCTTCATTTAGCTACTCAAAACATCTAGTATCCCTCAAGATCCTTTGATTCTAAAAATCACACCACAATTTCTAACTTATTTTTAAACTCATCCAATGCTTCTAATATCTTATTTACTACTTTGACAAGTTAAAACTACTAGTAATCATCAATAAACACCAATATACTAACATATCATTTCAAAACTCATTTTCTAAAATCTCCATTATTTCTCTTATCTCATCGTTTTAATCCTATCTAAACCTTCCTTAAGCTTCTATCATACTCAAAGCTTCAATAACCAACCAAAAACGAAAGAATAAACTAGCCATTTAAAATCTCACCTTTAAGCTATGGGAAGAGCTTTTTCCACAACAAGAAGAAGAAAATAGAGATATAGCTTTGTAACTCATTTTACTCCTTTTCCTTATTTAAATACCTTATTAAAATAATTATTAAATTTATTTCCCCTTTAAAGGACTAAAATGCCATCTCTATTCATCTATGGTTGCAATCTAGTCTAAAACACTATTCCAATCATTTACACATCTTTTATCATTTAAACACTTAAATCCTCAATTTTTAAATCTTTTTAATAAAGTCCCTAATTCGACATTTGGGGCATTACAGATGTATTCAAGAATTGGGGGGCCTCGTTTAGTAAATGTACCTTAGAGCCTGAAATAAGTTATCTCAAATATTAAAAGGATTGTTGTTATCCTCAGAGGTTTTAAAATCGAGCATATCGTATGTCAATGGTGTTTGAGCGTTCATCGTCAAATAAATTAGGAGTCTTTCAAGCAGATACTACTTTATAATCACCCTTAGATTAATCAATAAAAATAAGCAAGACTTAAAGAATACTTAGTGGGTTTTGGTGGAGAATCACCACCTTTGGTTGGCATCAAAGTATGATGGATAATAACTAAACAAAATTGGGAAGTAAAGAAATACCAAGGACAAATAGAAAAAGAAAAATAATTGCATATTTTATATATAATTATGTTTATAACACGTACAAAACGCTTATACTTTAGAGAAGTATTTTTTTTTCTTTTGCACTTTATGCCTAAGACACAAAATTTACAAGAAAAAAGAGTTTTGTTTGCATTATCATAAACTATTAATTTTCCGGTTTGGTGCGTCGGAGATTAAGACGAGCATGTTGGATCCTGGAGTTACTTGTGGAATACGGAATCGAGTCGTTGCCGTTGTCGAACTGGTGTGCCGATGGGCTGTCCGGTTGACCATACCTCGGTGAGTCAACAAAGTTAACACGGCTCAATACTGAGTTAAAAGCCTTGGCCGATGGACTCCGTAATCCATTCGGAGATGGTGGTGGTGGGATGTTGTTAAGACTTCGGTCTTTAGATTTCTGATCAATTGAATAACGGAAATTATCATAAAATCTCTTACAGCAAACTAAATTCGGTAGATTTAGAGCTTAGGGTTACCGGATTGTTAGGTTTTGTGGGATTGAACTTGGTAGTTTGGCCTACTACGTATTGAAACATTTCGAAGAATTTAGCCACCCCTATTTCCGAGCAGTTCGCCGAGTAATGCGTGAAAACATCCCATGCTCGAGCTCTCAGCTCCATGATCTTCCGATCCACTTCGGTTTCATGTTCCGCCATGAAAGGCCGAAAGATGGCGTCATACACAAAAACGGTTCCCTGCATTGATAAAAATATAATTAATATTATCTCATCTTATGTATGTTCGAATCTTGACCATTATCTTAAAATATAATATCTTTTTACTTAATAAAAAGACGAACACTGATTTGATAAATTACCTTGGTTTTAGGATACCATAGGTAGATAAAAAATCCAAGCTTCATCTCTCCATACATGGGCAACCTTCAGGATAGTTAAAATCTAATATTAATAACCAAAGCAATCAGATTGGAGCTATGAAAGTTGAGACCGAGGCTAAATATTACGATTAAATCTGGGATGTCACATAATTCGGAGTCGAATTCCAATATAAGGTGTTATGATATATATACCATGAAATGAATATGTCTGTTATCCTCTCCAAAACAGTAATAAAAGCCACAAGGATCCTGCAAAATCCATAACCACCATAGATTTCCTTCAAACTAAGTGCATTAAGGCCTTAATTTCTTTCTCAAATGAAAATATAAGTTGAAAACTAAAGGAAATGATTGTCATTTTGGTACCAATATTTGCACCAAAATCTGAGTTCATCAATCTCAACCCTGTTCTTCTCCACCTTTTTAAAGCACTCAAATGCTGGATATGCATATCCAAAAATCAACCTGAAATTTAATACAAATAAAGAGAAACCCTAAATTGTATCCCATTTACATGGTGCACTCTTTTTCTTGGAAGGTTTTTTTTAACAAGATTCATTTTATGTCTTATTTTACATATAATCGATATATAACATACAAAAATCCCTTTCAAAAGAAACCCCTAAATTGTAACACAAGTAATATAACAATTAATATAACAATTAAGATCCATTATCTCTTATTTATTAGAAGACTTACACTAGCAATCTGGTCAGGAAATCGCCCAACATCTTTATTAATTAATAATTTTTCTCTAGAATCTCCCGTGCTAATTTCCCTGGGGATAAATGAAATAATATTCCATAAGAAAAATTTTAAAATTCAATTTATTAAACCAAAAAAAAAAGGAAACTTAGAATTCCAAACCCGTTCCCAAAAAAAAAAATGGATGGCTTCAAAAAGAAAAAAAGCTTTAAAGAACAAAAAACCTGCAAAAAAAAAAACGAAACACAAGTTTGATAATTTGTTTTAGATAGGAAAATGGTAAAAAAAAAAAACAACCTCGGAAACAAACTGACAGACAAAACTAAAATAATCAGTTTGATTCTGAGGAACAAATGAAAGAACTCTTTTAAGAGTTTATGTTTGAAAAATGGATTAGATAACTGATGAATTTATAGCTGTTGTTAATACTATGTTTAATTTTCATAATAAAAATGATTGGCTATGAAAAAAGTGGGGACTTATTTTCCTTGGATTCATCCGACGGCTTAACCGTTTGTCAATTATGGCTAGTTTCGACCTTTTTCTATAAAAATGTACTAAAAAGATGCACACCCACGTTAATTATTTTCTTTAAAACAGTTACGAGTGATGTTCTTAAAAAATTAGGGTAAAGTAGATAAATGGTTCATCGGTTATAGGGTACTGGTTTATGAAGTCCTACTATTAAGAGTTAAAAAATAATTCTATGACTATAGACGGTTACTTTGCTGAGTCCATTGACTATTAAAAGTTACAAAATGGTCACTTAATTATTCATTATATTTCAAAATCATCTTTTTTCATTAAAAAATATGACATTTTAATCTGAACGTTAACTTGTTGATTGTGATATGATAAAATCTTATCCCATAATGTCAAACAACTATCATATCTCAGTCATCATTCTGACGTCCATGTAGACACATGTTTTCTCCGGGTCTAAAAAAATTATTATTATTATTATAAACAAAATTATTACATTTTTTCAGGTTACAACAAAAGACTCAGACAAGCCCAAACCCGAAGCTCAATACAAGCCAAGCACTCCAAGTGGAAACCTAACAGCCCACTCAACAACCAACCCGCCCAGTATCCGGCCCAGTCTTCGACCCATCTCAAGCCCACTTGACAACCCGATTAGGGTATTTTCTCTTCAACTGCCAGCACCACCTCATCTCAGCCCTTGGATCTGGACCCATCAAACAGTCCAGATCGCCCAAGGGTTAAGGTTTTAAACCCTAAAAATATCAACAACCAGCGCATGCACTTCACAACCCTAATCCCGAGTCGCGTGAGCCACCGCCGTTGACCCCGAGCCGCTGCCGAACATCTCTCTAGTCTTTCCATCATCCACAGTGACGGAAAACACATACACCAAATCAATCAGCCAAATCAGTTAGAAAAAAAAATATACAAATCGAAAAACCCCCAATAAAATATGAAAACAAAATCAAATCGAAATACCGAGAAGATTTCTGATATACATCATGTATCAATAAGAGGAGATTGGGGGTTCAAGAAAAAGGGAGAGAAGAGAGCGGGGGGTCTAAAAAAGGAAAAGAAAAACAACAGACAAAGGATGGAGCTTTTCGAAGATAGAAAAAATAGAGAGAGAGAGAGAACCGAATCGTGCCAGAATCAAAAAGAAAAAAAAAAAAAAAGAAAGAAAGAAAAGAAAGAAAAGAAAATCTGACCCCAGATTCATACTGAGAAGGAGGAGATGTTTCGGGTGGTGTCTTCTTCCCTCTCCTCCAACGTCGGTGGACGGCAGTCGTCGTCCGACACGACAGATGCTCCCCAGTTTCTGGAAACTCTTGAGCTCCGGTTGAGAGCTTTCTCTCTCTTTCTCTCTCATTCGTGTAAGAAGGAAAAGAAAAAAATGAAGCTGAGGGTGATTTTGGCGTGATTTCTAGCTTATATAGGGGCATCAAACGACGTTGTTTTAGGGGGAACCTGGGGAGCATTTTTGCAGATGCTCCCCAGTTTCTGGAAACTCTTGAGCTCCGGTTGAGAGCTTTCTCTCTCTTTCTCTCTCATTCGTGTAAGAAGGAAAAGAAAAAAATGAAGCTGAGGGTGATTTTGGCGTGATTTCTAGCTTATATATGGGGCATCAAACGACGTTGTTTTAGGGGGAACCTGGGGAGCATTTTTGTGCATGGGTTATTCACAAGAAAGGTTATTTGTATCTTGTAACTTTTTATTTTAGTCATCAATGCAACTTTAGTTTATTTTTACTTCGATCTCTTGTTTTGTGTATGTTGTAATTTAGTCCTGTTATTATATAGTATGTCATTCTTGTTAATGTTCGAATTTGGTTACGAAATTTGTAATTATTTTCAATTTAGACACTGCTTTGCATATGGTTTAATTATCATTTAGTCCTTCATGTTTCTGATGTAATTTATTTTAGTCCTTAAACATTGTTTATGGGTTATTTTCGTTTCTGGTACCTGTATTTGTTTAAAATGACTATTGGGGCTCTGATTTGTTCATAATTGTTATTAGGTCCTTTAAGTTTCTGTTAGTTTTATTTTTGTCCTTTAAATCACTGAATGAGTTTATTTGCATTGTTTATATTTTTATTTGTAATGTTTTCTAATGTGTATTTTAGTCCTTTATATTGAATATTTATTTTACACATTATATAATTATTTGTATTATATTTAATAAATATGTTTAGCTCCATTTAATGTAAATATTTTATTTTGTATATTTCCAGTTGCATTTATTTCCATTTGTATTTTTCTATCTATTGATGAGATCACTCGAATGTTTTTCAAGAACACCGATTTGTAAAATAAGCGTGGAAAGCATTACTTGGTCGAAGTGATGTGATCTGATACGACATTTTAACGGAATGAGAACTTGAAATAAATATAGTTTATTTTATTAATTAAATATGTTTATGTGAATGATTCGATGCGTTTTTATTTTATGCAAACGTTGATAGTCAATTTATATTTGATTCGTATTTTTATATCGATGAGGGAATATTCTTTTAGACAAAGAAATAGAAGATATAGGTTTCCCGATGGAGGATTGTTAATCTCGAGATTTCTTTTCAAATTAAAATATTTTCCCTACTAATCAATTCGAAACAAATTAATTAAACTTTAATAAATAGATCATAATTTAACTTTATATTCGATTTATAATTTCCACTACTACGACAAAGTGTAAGCGATCAAGTACCAATTTTGGGAGCTGTGGGGTACTAATCCTTCCCCACACGTAACCGACTCCCGAACCCTTTAAATCGAATTTTGGTAAACGCATACCAATTTTTGTCTTACAAAACGATTTTTCTTAAAATTGTTTTAAAAGACGTTTTTAGGTATTCGACCTATTAAACCCAAATGTCAATGTCGACTCATTTCCAATTTAATTCAAATCAAATCAAAACCACCAATTTTTCCAAATAAAAGTCAAAAATGTTTTTTAAAATAATATTTAATTGTTTTTTTTCTAAAGAATGGTTATGACAGTCAAGTTTAGACAATAGTCAATTTTTTAACGGAAAAATATAACTTTGGGACATAATGAATAGTCGGGTGAACATTTTGTAATTTTTAATAGTCGATGGACTTAATAAATAAATATTTCATAGTCGAATGAACATTTTATAACTTTTAATAATCGAGAGATTTAATAAAACAATACCCAATAGTTAGAGGACCATTTCTGTACTTTACCCAAAAATTAAATGTTTTTGAAAAATGTCACCCTTTATTCTTTGAATAGTCTAATTGATTACAAAATAATGTTTATTCAAAATTTTCTTGACGTAAAAGAATTATTGTTATTTTTTGATGTCTAAGGTTTGAGCATTATGAATGTTAAGAGTATAACCGTTCAATATCAAATTGTTGAGAATCATTTTTGAACAAATACTACCTTATATTTATCTCATATTAATAAAAAAATATTTCTTAATTAATTGATAATGCATATACACTCCACATACATAATTGTTCAAATCCAAGATCTCTAAAAAGAATAATATTTTTTATCTCTAAAATTATTTTACAGATTCAAGATATATTATTTTCTTACCCTTATTATTTAAAAGTATTTAAATTTTTTTCTTAAGAAAACAACTCAGCCCCATACTTATACTTAGCTTTTAACCCTCACAATAACTTGTCACTAGTGGTAAGTCTCATCTCTCAGCAAGAATATTGATAGATTTATAAATATGTGAGCAAAATTAGTTTCGAATAGTTATTTAATTTTTAAATGTTAAGTTATTCGTTTTGATCTGAATTATTGAGTCGGATTTTGAGTTTGAATCGAGTCGAAATTTAAATTTTTTGATTAATTCGAAAAATAAACATAAAAATAAAAAATTGACTAAGGTATTTTGACAATTTTGTGATTTAGTCCCTAGTTTATTTATTCCTCCTTCATTTTAAAGTCCATTTTTATGAAATTTGAACTACGTACTCCTAAACCGTCTTAGAATACACATGTACTTCCAACTCATATTTTTTATAAAAAAAATATTTTTCAATTTAATCCCTTAACTTTTCATGATTTCTGTTATTTCTTCAATTCATCCTTCATTTTAAGTATATTTTGACCAAATTTGAATAGCATACTCTTATACCAATATAACTTCAATTCTTTTTTTTTTACTAAAATGTACTATTTTTAATTTAGTCCTTTAACTTTTTATTTTACTCTATTTAGTCTTTTAACTGCAATTGTTTGTAATTTTTTTTCTTCCAATAAATTCCTTAACTCCTTTATACTCTCATTAATATTTCACCATCAAAATAATATTTTAAAATTATAATATTATAATATATTTTATAATTTGATATTTCATGTTTCTGCAATTAAAAATGCCATCTTTTATCATAATCCGATTAAGATCTTCCAATTTTTTTTCGAATAAAAAACTAATCCATGAAATCAAGACCAATCTATTATCATCGAAATTGTACGGTTCTGATCAAATTATAATTAATGTGAAAATCACAGAACAGTGAGTGTATCAGCCATGGACCCTCCTTGCTCACATTCAGGATTTATAGGTAGAAAGAAAAAATCCTCTCTTTTTCTTCTCCAATGCATCGGTGTCAGTCATTTTCTTCTTCAACGTCTCTCTCTTTTTCATCTCTTCAACCTTAAAACCCTAAAGATTTGCCATTTTCCCCCTCTTTTCTGGTGCCATGTTTAGCAGCAGAAAGAAGCCCACACTTAACACAGTTTCAGTTAGCTTAGGTTGCGGCGGCTGTAAGAAATCTAAACTCGCTAGCTTCTTCAACCCCAAACCGAAACCGAAGTCGAAATCGAAACCCCGGTCTCTTTACACCTACTCATCTTCTTCGAGCTACTCCAAGACCGCCACCTCGTTTTCTCCAAGCACCGACACTCCTCAATGCTCCGACGTGGACACCAAGTGTTCGACGGCGACTGTACGTGGTTTCCGCCTTGTTGGAGGAGAGAGCATGGCGGTGGAGAAAGACTCCGACGACCCTTATTTGGATTTCAGGCACTCCATGTTGCAGATGATATTGGAGAAGGAGATATATTCCAAGGATGGTTTGAGGGAGCTTCTCAACTGTTTCCTGCAGCTGAATTCGCCGTATTATCATGGGGTTATCATTAAAGCCTTCACGGAAATCTGGAATGGGGTTTTCTCCGTCAAGCATGGTGGTGGTGGTGGTGGCGCCGCCGGTTCGTCACCGACGCTGCATTTTGGGTTCGGGTCACGTGACCTGTAGGTGCAGCCGCTGCCGCGTTATATATGCTTGGAATACAGTCTAGTTGGTTAATTAGTATATATAATAAAGGGTAAATTACTCGTTTAATATTTAAGCTATCAATTTTGGTCCGATTCAGTACTTAAATTTTGAATTTTTTCAAAATCATACTTAGAATTTAGTATTTTTTTATTTTTAGTATCCGTTGTTAAAAATTTTAATTTTTGTTTATTTTAGTACTCGTTCAAAATTTAACGTTAAGTTTTAAAAAAATTGTAAGTTTAGTTATTAAAACGGACTAAAATTAATAGTTTAGATTACTAAACACTTTAAGTTTTTTAACAATGGGTATTAAAATGAAATGAAAATTAAACGTTAGGTATGTTTTTGAAAACATTTGAAAGTTTGGGCATTAAATGCATAATTTACCCTATAATAAATCAGTTAATTCCTTGTGGGTGCTAATAAACACTGATTAGGTAGTATTTAAAGAAATATTTCCAGAGTTTAATGCAATGGTAAGTTGTGAAGGTGAAGCCTTTTCTTGCATTAAATGAAAATATTTCTTTAAACAAAATCTTATTAACAAGTGCATTAATGGAAGTCTTTAGCTTAATCTTAGTTAAAATCCCCTAACCTTAAACTAGTGAAGTAGTATTATGGGCTATGTTTGACAATATGATAGTGTAGAAGTTTATATTTTGGTATTTGGAAATGGAAATGAAAAAGAAAAGGCTTTATTTTTCTCTCTTTTTCTTTGTTTATGTTTATATAAATAGAGTACGAGAACGATGGTATATAGGGATGGATCAAGAAGGATTCACGTAGTTATTTTCATTTAAAACTTTATAATCATATTTCTTAACATAAGATCTCAAGTCCGTCTCTACTGATGTAAATAATAATTAACAGTGAACTAGTTAGAATTTTTGTATAATCACATGTATCCAATCTATTAATCAATTAATTTGATTTAGGTAATGTTGAGGCTTATTATGGAACAATTCTTTTAATTTAGTTTACTTCATTTATAAATGTCGAGGTTTAAATGTCTGACTTTATTTGAAAATCTACTATTTTATGTTATTAGATCAACTAAAAATGGGTAGCTAGTTGAGTTTTAATAAAGATGATGGTGTATCATTGGTGTTTTACTTTAAGTAGTGTTATTAGATTACTACTTCTAATCTCAATAATTAAAATTATGATAAATTATATATTTGGTTATTGAGCTTTACGTTATCTCCTATTTTACTCACTATATTTTTTATTTTTTTTCAATTTATTAATTGAAATTTATAGGTTAATTTTTTGTCACTCTGCCGTTAAATAATTAAACGATATTAAGATATGACAATTTATATCAAAATGATGTCACTTTGAAGTCCTGGAAAAAATAAATTTTAAATTAAAATGATGTATTTTTTATTAAAATATGATCATGTCATAACACCGTAAATTATTTAACCACAAAGTGATCAAAAAAAATTTAATCTATAAAATTCATTTAGTAAATTAAAAATTGAAAGTATGATAAGTGAAATAGGAGAGAAAGTAAAGCTCAGTTACCAAACTTATAATTTACCCTTAAAATTATTAGCTACAAAATAGAAAAGATTTCTTGGACGCTTTGGGGTCACAACTCAGCATTTATCCTCTTTGGGGAAAATACGTGGCAAGTTTTTATTGGTCAAGTAAATTATATTTGTGAAAGGGCATCTTAATGGATAAGAGCCAAGTCAAGGCTGTTTATGTAACTTTTGGGGGGTAAATTATGTATTTACTCATACATTTATTTTTACAAATTTGTTTTTGTCAACCAATTATTTTATTTTTTAAAATCATACCTAATATTATATTTTGATTTCGTTTCAGTTACTCGACGTTAAAAAATTAATAGTGATACTAATATGTCACCATAAGATAATGTAACATCATCACGAGAAAAATATCAAGCCAACAATTTTATTTACTTTTTAACGGTGAGTGATCAAAATGGAATAAAAAAACACAATGTCAGATGTGATTTGAAAAAAATATAGTTGTGTGACTAAAATAAAATCATAAAAATAGGTACTAAATATGTAATTTACCCTTTTTTAGTATCAATTTACATTATTATATATTTAAGGGTGAACTACAAATTTAGTACGCAACTATTACTTTTGATCTATTTTGGTCATCTAACTATTTTTAATTTCAAAATCATAATAATGTTACGTTTTGATTTTATTATGGGCATCCACCATCAAAATTAATAATGATGTTGACATGCCACCATTGTAATACTATGTCAAAAATTCATTTAATTTTTTAACGACAGTTGACCAAAATGAAACCAAAATATAACGTCACATATGATTTTGAAATAAAAATAGTTGAGTGGTCAAAATAGAACAAAAGTTATAGTTGGGGCTAAAGATGTACTTTATCCTATATTTAAATAGGATAAACTACGCATTTAATATCTGAACTACCATTTTTTATATGCTTTAATACCTAAACTTTTATTTTTTTCAAAATCATATCTAATGTTTAATTTTTATTTCATTTTAGTATCCATTAAAAATCTAACTTTAAGTTTTGAAGAAAAAATTGAAAATTTAGGTACTAAACGAGTTAAGTTTTTAAAGGATGGTACTAAAATGAAATAAAAACTAAATGTTAGGTATGATTTAAAAAAATGAAAGTTTAAATACTAAAACAAATCAAAATTAATAATTTAATTATTAAAATAATAGTTTACCCATTTAAACAACATTTTTATAATATTGTATATTTATTTAAGATGAACTTTCCTAGTAGTGAATAAGTTGTCTCAGAAAAGGCGGACTAATATACAATTAATATACGGTGTTACCGAAAATTTAATAAGATACTTAATAAAATTTGTTTAACGTTACAAAAAATATTGAGTAATAATAATATTATCATCTATATTTTTTGACACATTTTACATAGGACGATAATATAACCGATTATTACCTTTTTTTATTACCAACTCAAAAAATTATTTTGATTAAATTATATTACATTTTCAGTATCAATTTTAACCAGTAATTTATTTATCCAATAACGTTATTTTTTAACTATTTTTTAACATCATTACAGCAGATCGTCCTAGTAGTGAAGGACCTCAAATTCTGGCCCCAAATGCAGTGTGAGAGAGGCATTGGGATTTGAAAGAGTAATAATTAGAGAAAGAGTGTCGTGTTCTAAATGTGGAAACAGAGCTGCCTCAATTGAATGCGGGTTTTAATGGAGTCATTTTCAAGACAGCCTTTTTTACATTTCCAACACACTAATCCCTTTTTTAACTCCAATAAAATCTCTTGTGTTTATCGGAGGTCCTGTCAAAGATTTTAGATCTACTAGAGAACTTAACCTTACTAAACAGGTGGGGAATATGTATTTTTAAAGAAATTACATCTCCCCAGAGACGGAATTTATATCCTTCTAAAATTTTTGATTTAATAATATTTTAATTGTTCAACATCTTAAATTTAGGTACCTTGGCCTCCGTCTCTGTATCCGGACGTATAACATTATTCATTAAATGAAACCCAAAATCTCAGAATAGTTGACTTCGAGTGTAGGCAGGGAACAGTAGTTGAAATGACAAAGATAGTTCATTTGCTCTATTTAGATATATATTTATGAGTATCTCATAACTACTACATAAATGATATTGTCTTGTCAGATGTCATCAATAAAAGGAATTGAATTTTGAGCAAAGAGATAAATAAAAGGACATAGCCATGGCCTGCTTTTCAAGTGTGTGTGAAATCCCAATACCATCAAAAATGATCTCAGAATCCTTTTGGAGTGACCACAAATCATTAGCCACGCCCAGGCTTCACAGATCTGTTTTACTCGGTTCTGCTTCACTGATTGATTGTTCAGCATCCCAACTTGCAAGCTACCCGTCTTAATTTTTAAAATTTATTTTAACTAATAGAATTGTTAGTATTTTATATTTATCAACATTAATAATTTTCACACTATCTAATATTACTAATATAACTTGATAATGTCGTGATATTTATTAAACAAATAAATAATAGGATATTTACTAAATAAAATGGTCAGAAAAAATTCCAAAAATTTAATCTAATTTCTTAATCCCATTAAAATAAATAATATTTTGAGATTTTGATCTAACCCTAATACCTTAAGATGCGTTTGGTTTATGGAATGTATGATTACCTTTGAGAATAAGATTACCTTCGGGAATAAGATTACCAGAAGGTAACATCACTCTAGGGATGTTGTATTACCCTGTTTGGTTTGTTTAAGAGGAATGCAAGATTACGATGTTTGGTTAGAAGAATATAAGATTACTTGGATGCATATTTTACCAAATGATCCTTGTGATATATATATATATTAGGGGTTTTTCTCGATATATCACCTATATATTATATATTTCCCTGTCAGGCACCCTTCAGACTATTTTCTCGATCTAACACCCTTTGCAGTAAGGCGCACCCCCTGCAGCGCGCTTTATGCTGAGTTGGATACACGTGGCTATAGCGCGTCCCCTGGGGCGCGCCCTACTCCACGTAGGGCTATAGCGTGGTGCAGGGGCCGCGCTTTTCAATTATCACATGCTCAATTATCAGACATACATAATGCAAGGCGCGGTGCAGGGACCACGCCTTGCATAATTTACCCAAACTTCTCGGCTTTAAAGCATCCTCTCTCGGCTGTAAATAGCCTTCTCCCCGTAAACTCTCTCACCAACAATCATTTCAACCAGTAAATAACACCCGACAATCCTCTTATATTTGATTCAGAAGTTCGTTCGATCTTTCGTTATAAGGTAATTTTGATATATTATTTTTATAATTATATATGATTATTTGAAAAAAATATTATACTAATTGTTTTCAACTAATTTTTGTGTTTGTAAAATTGGAAAGCGTGAGCATACGTTGAAATATTTTTGCGGTGCAGGTAATAATATAAAATTATATTATTTAAATTATTTACGTTCATATGTAAAAATTTTATTGTGTTATATTTTCGTTCATATATTATTTATTTAATCAGGTTTGTTTCAGTTGTTTTTTTGCAGATATAA